TCAATCACACAGCCTGTATTCCAATGACAATTTTGTGGAGTCCTAATGCACCACTGTAGAATAAGCACTGGACTAAAGGTCAATTTGAATACAGGGTCTGCAGATCAAACACACTTGCCACTCTTCGGAAACCCTATTCAGAGTCACCATGGGTCAGAACTGACTGGACATCACTTAACACCAACAACAGCGCCATCAGATGCGCTTTCTTTCTGTGTTTCCTGTTTGGATTGTTGCCAAGTCCAGTCCTCAGATGGCTGCTCTGAGCGAGGGCTACTGATCCCAGTGTGTAGGTTCTCCTCCCTTCTGTGTCATCCTGTGCTTTCTCTCCCCAGTATCTGGACACAACCCCATCCTCCAGCACCTCTGCTACTCTTCAGAGTTCTAACATCTCAGAACTGCTTGTTTTCACTTGGTCAGTGGGTTAGTTGCTGAGGGAATAAATGGGAGTGTCCGCTCATTCTGCCAACTTTTTTAGTTGTCTGTTTAGTCTTCATTATTAGCTTCTACACCAGTGTTTCAATTTGTAAATCTTGAAATGTAGCATTTGTAAGTGAACATCTGCAATAATAAAATCAACAAATCAGAGCCTCATGTGCAGCACATTTACTAAGGATGGTGGTGGAGGTGGGAATGTGGCTTTGAGTGGTTTCTGACTTACTGAGACCCTGTATCAGTGTTCTGAGGTCACACATCTTTATGGGAGCTAAAAGCCTCATCTTTCTCCCCAGGAGTGGCTAGTAGATTCCAACTGTTGACCTTGCAGTTAGCAGCCCAATACCTAACCACTATGCTAGAAAGACAACAAGAAAATCAAAACCCAGGCAGCCACTAATGCCGTTCCTCATAACTCGGATATGTGTTAAGTTAGGGTTTATCTGTACTTCCTTTATGGGGAAAACTAAGGTTCTCCATATGTAGCAATAACAACTGGAGTATTCATGATGAGGAATCACTCATACAATGAAATTTAATTAAAAATTATATCATTAAATAGGAAGTTTTTTAAAAATTGTGGAAAAATGGAATAGAATGTTAATGGTTTTTTTCAGTAGCTTTTTGAAGCCCTCCTGTAGATGTATATAAACCAAAAAAAACTTATTGTTGAATCAATTATAACTCAAAGAGACCCTAGAGGCCAGGATGCAACTCACCCTGAGAGGTTTCCTATGCTGTAAACTGAGGAAAGCAGAGAGCCCAGTGGTGTTCTCATGGAGCGGCTGGTGGGACTAACAACCAACCTTGTGGTGAGCAATCAAATGCTTACCTACTACATCACCACTTTCTCTGTCTCTCTCTCTATATATATATTTATATTGTTAAGTGCCATTGAGAAGTCGGGTCTGACTCAGAGCAACCCTGCATAGGGCTTCCAAGGTACAATGGGTGGGTTTGAACCATAGACATTTTAGTTAGCATTTCAGTGCTTATCCTTATCCTACAGAATGGAATTAAAACATAATGGAATTTTCCATAATTTTAGACATATATATATAGTAAAGAGTCATCATATCAGTTCCAACACATAGCCACCCTGTGCCTGTATAGGGTTTCTGAGCAGCAGCTGGTGAGTTGAACCACCAATCTTGTGGTTCAGTCGTTTCTTACAGC